AGGTGCATCACCACCCGGGAGCTCCCTCCCGCCCCGCATCCTCCCCGCCTTCATCCACCCCATCCACCACCACTGCCGGGCCCCCCACACACACACACACACGCCCGCCCGCCCGCCCCCTCACTCGGCCCCGTCGTCCTCAGCCCTGGGTGGCCAACGGGCTGTTGGCGAAACTGATCTCCTGCGAAGACACCCGGCCGGCATTCAACCAGTTGCGAGGGGGTTGCAACATTGACATGGGGATCATTGCGGTCCAGGGACCTGCGGCACCCGGGGGTGGGGGAGGTGGGCCGCTGCTACAGCTGATGGACGGGGTATCGCTAATGTAAGGGGCCGCATGTGCAGGCGTTAGGCAGTAGCAATAGCACTAGTCCTCCGCGCCTTGTGCAGCAGCAGCAGTAGAACAAGAGCGACTGCAGTAGCAGCATTGGTGCCCTTGCAGTACAGTGCACTTCTCACGTGTCGCGTTGTCAGTAACGGCCAGGGCGGTACGGGCAGCAGCAGCAGCAGCAGAGCGCAGCAGAGCCCCTGTTCTGGCTGTTGGCGCTGCCCCGCCTGGCTGGTTGGATGTGCGTTAACTCGGTTGCTGCTGATGGTGAGGATGGTGAGGATGGTGGTACTTCTGGCCGGCGGGAGAGACGCGCATGTGCGTGCCACCCGCATGTGCATGTGGGAAAAGTTGTACGACGGCAGTTTGTACGAGCCCAACCCCGTGCAGCTGCAGCAACCGCTGGCACCGCCTTGTGCCGGAGTAACCACGAGGGAATAATATGCGGGCGGGATTGTGTCAGAGGGACAGGTAGGAACGGGTGTTTATCACAATTATTGAAGGGCCCCAATGAGCGCTGTAGACCTGGGTGTGAGGCGACTCAGGTCCCTAGGCGACCGCCTCTCTCTCAAACACATACACACTTATCGTTACACACACATACATACACACATACACACACAGAGGCTGCAGCCGAGATCCTCATTACCTACAGCCGCTCTTCGCAGCCCCCAACCAACCCCCCTGCAGACCATGTACAAGCTTATGACACGCGAACAGCGCTGTTAGCGGCAACCGCCTCCCTTACCTGCGTTGCCTTATATCGCCAAAACGTTTTCCAAGTCCCCCCACCTCCCACCTCCCAAGGAGGCATTCCGAAATGTAAACACTTTACTCTTCAGCAGTTTTTCCTCCCTCCCTCAGCCACCGAAGCCTTACCACCTGGGACGAACCAATCTAAGATCCAGATCGGTTAATGCGTTAACGGACCAACGGCAACTGTCAACCAGCGAAACGAAGCCACGCAACAGTAATGCCAGCCACGCAATATGCCAACGCCAACTCGCCAACCAACACAACCTCCGTCCTTCAAGCGAAAAAAGAAGCTTTCGAATCTTTGCACCATTATGTGCCATCGTTCACACGCTGGGGAGACAACCAAGCAACGGAATGCAACCAGCCAACCGACCAAATGTCAAAGACGCAGTAGCAGTATGGACGATACCGGGGCCGGGTCATAGGCTCCTGGTGGTGGCAACAGCAGTAGCAGCAGACGACGGACGGAGGGGGGCGCCCCGGGGTCGATCTTTGCGACACCTCACCCCACTCCAACCCCAGTCCTCGTACGGGAGGGAACAGCAATACTTGCATGCGCTCTCAGGTACAGCAAGGAGGGTCACGCGCGCGCACATACACACACGTATATATACCCCTCTCCCCCCACAAGGGAGGAGAGTGCTTCGGCGGTCGTTCCTTCCCGTTGGGGTATACGGTTAGGTGCCCCTGGCCAGCGTCAGGCTCGGATCGATATGTGGCAAATAATACACGCACACATACACAACAGCGCGCCATACTCCGCCCAATCCAGCGTACCGGCTTTTTCCTTACGCCGGCTAGAACAGCAAAACCAGGTGCTCAGACCCCTCCTCCCCCCACCGGCCCTCCGGGACCCCGGGCCGTAAAAGTCCACACGTCAATACACACGTGCGTGCATCCTCCAGGCGGCGCAGGAAACCCCTCCCCGCCCTTCTCCTCCTCCCCATCATCGGAGGTATCCCTTCAGCACTGGGGGATATGAAGCGGCCCCCTCCTCTCCCCTCCTCTCCCTCCAACAAACCCATCCGCGCGGGGCCCATTCAATACAACCACCTACAACGCACTTCGCAGAATGAAGCGACGAAGCGACCAATAGCAATAACAACGACAGCGAGAGTAGCAGCAATACATACATACATACCAAGCAAGCGAACAGAAACCAGCAGCATTTGCCTGTTTGCCAGTCAAGCAGAGTCAACCTCGTCATCAAGGCCGCCCTCAACAGAGGAGACACATAGGTAAACACGCGCTTCAATGACAATAGGGGGGATAATCTTCCGTTCGGCTGATCCACTCAGGAAAAAGGAGCTGTTGATGTGCTGCGGGTGACACCACCTCAAAGGATCTTGGACCCGGGAAGACTGGGAAAACGCTGCAGCGCTGGGAGAAGATAATGTCATCCAGTGAATATCCTGAGTGTACGGAAAACACAGTGGTGGCACCTGTATGCGTGTGTGTGTATGTGTCTGTATGTCTCTGAGAGAGTGTGCATGTGTGTGTGTGCGGGGGAAAGGAGGAGCTGATCCAGCCGTGGAATGGGCAGGAAGACGAAGCGTCGGCACTGTCACACACCCGCGCCGCCGCGTGCCATCTCTAACCCCCCTAGCTCCCCCCCCCCCGCCCTTAGCTCCGTGCCGTCAACGCTAGGCCGGTGCTACTGCACTGGGTTCACATGTACTCAAACGTACGCGTGTGGTGGTGGTATGTGTACATCTCCCCGAACCCGCCGTACACGGTGTCACAGAAACCACATTCGCGCGTCACGCGACGTGCGGTCCCCGCACTCCCCACCTCACCCCACCTAATCAAACAAGCAGCAACTGACGTTTCGCGCCGCCTCCCATTCCTCCATCCCTCCCCTCCCTTCCCCCCCTCCAACTTCCGTTGTTCCATCTCCAGCGTGTGTTTTAGTTTTGTTTGAATGTATGTATTATGTATGTATGTATGCATGAGTCTATGTGTCTGTATGTGTCTTGTATGTGTGTGTGGTGATGTGCATATGTAAGGTGTGTTAGCCGCGGACAGGAACGGGCGAAAAGAAGAGCACACGGGGGTGTAACTATGCGCGTGCGTGTGCGTGTGTGTATTGTGTTTTACGACACCGTGCAACCCCCCGGATCACAGTCGTCACATCCC